TTCTAGCGGTCCTTTCATAGCACGACCTATATATACGGTCGTGCTATACTATATACTATACGATATACGGTCGTGTTATATAGTAATGGCTTACGACTATATAGCACGTATATAGTCGTATGTAATATTTATAAATAGTAATATATGAATATTACTCCACTCAAGAGCTCTTCTCATACGTTCCAGTCCTATGTGTTTGCTGTTACTAAAAAAACACTACTGCTGCTGCTGCTACTACTTCAACCCTTTCCACTTAAATATTCGGTACACATTTAAGAAAACAGTGTGGTAGATTAAATTCTATCATGAGATGTCACACACTTGGTCAACAGACCAAACTAGATATACTTAACTACTAATGCAAACAAGCAAGTTATCGCGCAAGAAAGTATTAAACAAAGCCACTTGTCTACACACACAAGTTATGAGTAAATTTTTTTCACTAGTTTCATCTTGTCATAAACATCCCCGATGTTATCCCTAAAAATAACACCGAGGCTGTTTCAAGACTCAAATTGCACATACACGAACGATAAAATACTTCACAATAGAACTACATTAGTAAAAGACAAAACGGTTCTTAATCACCTTAATGTTGAGTAGCTAGCCGAAGCATACAGGGGCTCTGTATCCACACCGGAATCAGATATATTTAAACGCCACATCTTGACAGGTGTAAAGGGACTGAAGCAGATGTAAAACACCTGTATGTTATAGACAAACGTACCCCCAAACCCCCTACACTAGAGATGCGTGCACTCCCCCCACACCTGCGCTTGGAGAGGCAGTACAACAAGACTGGGAACTGTTGAAACTCCTCCACCGTGCTGTGAGGTAAGACGCTGGTATATGCATTATTCACCACCAGTAAACCATGCCATGAAGTACCTAAGTGGTAGGGAGGGTGGTACTGTGTACCCTAATACTGCCACCCTAAACCCAACCTTGTACCCACAGCCACACTAGCACCCTCCCTCATCTCCACACAGGAACACCCACCCCAACCCTCTGATATTTTACATTAGGTTTTAGAAAAATCCAATACCACACACACCACTCTAAACCACCAAGGTATTTATGACTGAAAGCCTAATACTGTTCCAGTACATCTACGGGTAAACTGACAAGTGAACCTTTGTTCTAAACACATTCTTAGCTTATAGTTTTATTGTAGTATTAATATTTCCTTAGGCGCATTTCCTATCGCCCAATGCAGTGAATGGGTACCCAGGAGTTACTTGGCTTTTTGCGAGGCTGCATCTGGGGGCGGGGGGAATCCTCGATACAAGCCTAATGTAAAAATACACTGGCTGCCTGTGCCCCGAAACAAATGAATGATAAAAGTAATATTTTGTTAACATACATTCGCATTAATATGCCCATTAAACGACACGAAGGGTTACAGAGCTCAAGATACTAAAGATCACCCTTTTCTGTACAACTTAATATTAAACACGATAGACTGTTTGATAATTGGATTGAAACAATCCAAGATATGTAGGATTCTTCCAATCCCACGCCGGATTCTTCCAATCCCACGCCGGACATACACTATTGAGTTTGGGTGGTATTAACAAAACCCGATTCTCATGGGCTAATAGGCCTTCTGGAGTTTTTTTTTATTCATATGCTGTTCATCGCACTTCAGCCCGTACTGTATGTAGGTCAGACGTAAGTATGTTTGTGTTGGTAGGTTAGATTAGCATTTTAAAGGCATAACAATCCCCTTCTGTGGTTGATTGTTCAATAAATCGCTGAACTATATGTTTAACAATTTTTTAACCCTGTCCATGGAGGACAGAAGAAAATGTATATATATGCTGGTTAATATTGTACATGTGTGGCCAAGTTTGTGAGAGAAGAAGAGAAGAAAGAAAAGAAGAAAAAGAAGAAGAAAGAGCAGAAGAAGAAAAAGCAAAAAAAAAGAAAAAAAAGGATATAAAAAAGAAAAGAAAGAAAGAAATGAAGAAAGAAGAAAAGAAAGAGGAGGGGAGGAGGAGGGAGTCCGTCTTCTCAAGTACTCCCAACGTCACTAAACTGGTGTACTAAATTGCCCGGACCTAATTTGACCCAGGACGTCACGCGAGAAGGGGGGTCTTAATTTCCACCACGCGAGGGGGTCCCGGTTCGAGTCTCCTACATCCCTTGAGGTTACCTTGAGGTGCTTTCGGGGCTTAGAGTCCCCGCGGCCCGGTCGTCGACCAGGCCTCCTGGTTGCTGGACCGATCAACCAGGCTGCTCGCAGCCTGACGTATCAGTCACAGCCTGGTTGATCAGGTATCCTTTGGAGGTGCTTATCCAGTTCTCTCTCTCTCTAGTCAGTCTACTACTTTTAAAATGAAGCTAAAACACAAACCTAAATATTCTAGGCCTAGTATAGGGCACACATGTACTATATTATGCCTCAAATCGTGTATTAGACCTAGGAAGGTTAGGATAGGTTAGTTTAGTTGGTCAAAGTAACACTATTAAAAAAAATTATTTTCCGGTTTGTTCAAATCAATAGCTCAGATTTCTACGTTCTAATTTCGTTGTACGTCAGTATATATACTATGGTCCTCATTGTTAGTATAAGTACTACCAAAACATGAGGATGGGCTGTAGGAAATACTACCTTGCAAGCACATCTAGGCGAGTACAGGCATGAATGCAATACAAGCACACTTATGCTAATACACTTACCCGAGATGGCTCCGAGTGCGTTAGGAAGTGACTCAACTTTGGGCATTTCCTGTCAATAACCAGTACCAGTTAAGTTTATTAAGCACCCCTCCCACCTACCTATTCTCTGAACGAGGTGAAAAGGTTAGAAGCACGTAGTAGGTTCAGGAAGTGAACCACAAAAGCAATTTAGTTAAACAAGTTACAGCACAGAGCTTATTACATAATTTATTAAATCAAGTGTGTCTAGTTTTATCAACCACGAAGATGTGAAATTATGCCATCCACACGAACTCCCAGACCGCCTGGAGGGCGGAAGTGAGTTACGAGGAGAGAGTGGAAAGCCATTAAGACTATATATAGCACTTGGAAGTGGGTCAGCAAAAGGATTTGAGATGGGATTTACTGTCAAGACACTGACGGGAACACTAAACACGTTTCAGAAGTCGGAACAAATTTTCCTTAAACGGGCCACAACCTTTCAGTGTGTTGTGTTCGGTCCCGAGGCAGGGCTTGGCCAGCTTGGACTGCCTGTGGGTGAAAACACGCTCAGTATATCCACAGTTCGAACACTCAGTACGAACACCATAGACCGCACTCTTGAGACCAACACGCACGCCGCCACGGTCCCTCAACTGGCATTTGAACCCGGTTCTCGTTAATCATAATTTCAACTAAATGAATAATAAGCTAGATTTAGACAGGATATCGAGGAGGTTCAGTTGGCCCCCGCGCCCCGTGGTGGAGACACCCACAGCCAGCTTCACCCCCCAACACAAGCCCTGCCTGGCCGGCGCTACACTCACACACTAAACAACAACAGCCAACACTTACCCTAGGAGGGAGGCCTGTTCGGCGGACACAGCGATGGAGGACGGCATCTTGGTAGATGAACGGAGTTTCCTGAGAGAGCAAAACAGACTAGTGTTATATTAAGCCGGGTAGTGTCTTGATCCACCAACCCCCCACCAACCCGCATTGCACGTCATAACTAATGCCACATAACTGCATAAAACACTTTTGTTTTACCCAACTTACCGTCTACAACATTAACCACACCCTCTTCTCCCCCACACGTCTATAACAGACAAGACAGCCTTAAAACTGCACAAGAGAAGGTCAAAACACAGTTGTAGATTTGAGGGTTGCAATAACATTAGGCTATATAATGTTGGCAACTGTTAGCGGGCATTTGAGGAGCACTGACTCAACTCACCAGTGATGCAGCATCACTTAACACACTGCTCTTACTACACTTATTTACAAGGAAAAATTACGATGGCTAAGTTACACTGACATTTTTTTATACAATAGCAAATTTTACACAAAAACACCGAAATATTACCACTAATTCTTTCCATATTATTATTATTATTATTATTATTATTATTATTATCGACGTCTAGTTTATTAACCTCGTACCCATATTCTGGATTAGTTTATTTTTTATTATTCACCATATCATATACTCATCCTGCGAGTGCTAGTGGAAAAGGTTAAAAGGCACACGATTGGTTCAGGAATCGACTCTTAAATTCGTTTAGCTAAGCAAGTTACAGAACCATTAGCCTAGTTACACAATTTGATAAGCTATGGAGGTATTGTAGATTTATAAAACTAATATCTAAATGACCTCTAGGAGACTTTAGGTGTTTGTTAGTGTAGGCAGTTGCATAAGATGTGTGTGTGCTTATCATGCATTCGTTACACAGCCATAAAGTGGGCGGAGGATACGAGGCTGCGTGTACCACTTATTTTTTGTTTATTAACACATTTAGGTACATCTGCAAGTGACACCATTTGGTCACCACTTGGTCCGGGAGACATCTCCCGTTACGCAGGGTGCAGTTGCACCTCCACAGATCTCCAGTATCAGCTCTTGATACTGGTAATGGCTCAAAAGGGCCACCACTTACGGGCTATTCATGCCCGTGCCACCTTTTCAATGGTTTAATCGTCATCTTGGACACATTCATGGGAGACATCTCCCGTCACGCTGAGTGCACTTGCACCTCCACAGATCTCCAGTATCAGCTCTTGATACTGGTGATGGCTCGAAAGGGCCACCACTTACGAGCTATTCATGCCCGTGCCATCTTTTGGGTGGCTTCATCTTCATCTTCTTCATCTGTTTAAAACACGGGAGACATCTCCCGTCACGCTGGGTGCAGTCGCACCTCCACAGATCTCCAGTATCATCTATTGATACTGGTGATGACTCAAAAGGGCCACCACTTACCAATTCATGCCCGTGCCACCTATTGGGTGGCTTCATCTTCATCTTAACACATTCACAAGGGAGACATCTCCCATCATGCAGGGTGCATTCGCACCTCCACAGATCTCCAGTATCAGCTCTTGATACTGGTAATGGCTTAAAATGGCCACCACTTACGGGCTATTCATGCCCGTGCCACCTTTTGGGTGGCTTAATCTTCATCATCATCATCATCTGCAAGTGACTCCTTGTCATCCTTGACTGCCCTCCGCTCACCAAGGCATAATTGTGACGTGCTTATCTCTGAAGCCGGATACAGATATAGTGAAATCATCAATGATGGAGTCAGAGTCTGTCTCCTGTGGATTCCTTCCCATATGGGTCTCTGAATGCATGATAATACTGATGAGTTGGCCAAGACTTTTGCTCGTAAAGAGGGAATTAATGCAGCTACCCCAGACAGCTACCCTATATGAAAGGGAGTACAGCGTGTCAAAAAAACTACCTACGTTATGCTAGAAATCCCCCATCACACAGGATGGTGACTCATACCAAGGCATGTGATAAGTAGTCTGCGCTGGCAAACCACCTGAAACAAACTTTGCACAATTGCATTAAATGTCTAGTAGAGATTTTTAATACAAATTTCTTCAACATCTGTGAAGTTTAGAATTCTTAATTTGTTTTCACAATGATAAAGTTATGCAGGGTGTGTGAATAATATTTGCAGGCTTTACAATTGGTCGGGTTTACATCGGCTGGCATTGAAAATTACCACTTACTAATACTCTGCTTAAACACTTAAAAGTAGAGTATCATATAGAAGTCTGTTGATTTTATTGAATTCCCAATAACTGTGGCTTGCATAATGGTATTATTGTTTGAAGTCTAGTGAAAATTTCAGCCTCTTGATCTACAAGATTTTTCTTGAAACTATATTATGGTTTTCATGCTGCTTATAGATAATGTAAGGTAATAGTTAACTTGTCCTTTGAAGGCACTGTCATTAGCTAAATCAATTCTATCATACACTGGCGGGGGGCCAACATGAAATGGATTAGTACTATTGTTGTTTGTCTACTTTCGCACAAACGTGTTAATGTATACATCAACACTGACTGTCTAAGGGGTCAGTGTTGACCCCCTTAGACAGAACCATTACCACCGTGATCAAGAGGCCGCAAGTGTTTTGGTTAGTTTAATTAGTTTATTATAGACTCCATTCCCATCGTGTGGGCGAGTGGCAGAAAGGTTTGTCACAATGGGTACATAAACTTTAACGGGGTCCAGTTCATCAATGTATATTTGGTGCCGAGCCAGTTATATATAATTTTAATTTGCCTATTGTTCATCACACATTCAGTGGGCGGCGGGGCAAAGGTTACAATCACCCAGGGAGCCGGTCGGCCGAGCAGACAGCACGCTGGACTTGTGATCCTGTGGTCCTGGGTTCGATCCCAGACGCCAGCGAGAAACAATGGGCAGAGTTTTTCACCCTATGCCCCTGTTACCTAGCAGTAAATAGGTACCTGGGTGTTAAGTCAGCTGTCACGGGCTGCTTCCTGGGGGTGGAGGCCTGGTCGAGGACCGGGCCGCGGGGACACTAAAAATCCCCAAAATCATCTGAAGATAACCTCTCAAGATAACCCAGATGCACTATCTTCAGTAGGCCACCTACTGCTTTACTAAGATTTATGGTATTTAACTATTTACTAATATTTAATGTGTGAATTTTTTTTCTCGAAATTTTTAACTTTTTCCCCCCACATACTTACGTAAGATGTGTGAATAGATTTGCTGACTGTTTACATTTGTTCAAATTTACTTGAACAGGTGCAATCTTCTAAATATATATATTTAGTCGAGCCTAAGCCTAGTAGTAGTAACGCCTAGATGTTTGCCCACTATTTGATGATTCATATAAACGCGTAAATCTTCCTGAATAGTAATCGTGTATATATATTGATTAGCTGGGGTAAATTTCAGTCTCAAGTCTATTAAATTGTTAGAATTATGTTTATTACATGCCCTCGGGCTGCTCAAAGCCAATCTATGTGGCAATCAACTTCTACTTCAGGAGCATGTGCCTCTGCTAACTCAGTTCTGTCATGCTCGCGGATAATGATAGATAATGGTCGATAAAAAGTCGATAATGGATGGGAAGCAAGAGCGATACCATCAATGATTTTATTATGTGCCTTGCTTTTGGCAAACATGTTACAATCATGTCCTCTTGTGTACAATCGGAGCCGAGTGTGTGACTGTCAACCTTTGATACATGTACTCAGGAGTGTGGTCACATGGTGGCAAAAAAAATGATGCATATGCTATCCTTTCGGCCACCACCCACAGGATGGGAATTTGCTCCAAATCACATTGTACTATACAGAAACACCTTTAATCATAATATAAATACGGCGATCCTCGCCCATCATATATTTACCCATAATGAGCTGCTGCCCAGCCAAATAAATAATTTGACTTTAACGTCGATGTAAATTCGTCGCTCATGCTTGAAACGGTCAACTCCTGCACAACTAGGCACTTTTCACTGCCTTACAGGAACCCCAATCTTTCACAAGGTCACATACCGCAATTACTACCCCACAAGATCAGTAATTATACACACACGCACACCCGCATTGATCACAGGAAAGAAAATTTTCGCATGGGATATTCGCGCGCTCGAGCACAGGAGACTGCCACCGTGTTTCGCAGCCTGGCCGAGCGACAGAGGGCGAGATACCACCTCCAATACCCAGGGCGCCGCTGCCGACCCCCTCCACTGAACACCAGCTGGTTAAAACAAGTGCACCCGAGTTTCATCAACATGTGAAGCAAGTCTGATGCGCACGATATTCTGTTCACTGTCATAGGTTTCAGGGACAGAGGTAGTTCTCAGACTCGCTCCTAAAGCCCATGCATGGCAATTCTTTTCTCAGCTGAAGGCTATAACACACGCATCCGATACGCTTAACATTTCTTAATGCCAGCCGAGAGTTTAGAGGGCTAAAAGAACAGGTGTATAACCAGCATTGGGAACAGTTTTTGCATGTCATCAGTCGTGCAACATTTTTCACCCCAACTACGGAACAAAAAATATTTCGCATCCTAACACGGTAGCAATATGCAACGACTGCCAACACAAACGGCATACTCCTAGATATACACCATCTTGCTAGTACCTAAATAAACCGTAACTTTAAACATTGAAATTGCATGTAGTGAAATAGGTCCAGATGATAACTACCATTGAACTAAACAAAAATGCACTCACGAAACTTTAGGCTACCTCTCCTGGAGGACGAGCTTCAAGAGAGACTTAACAATACTACAAGTGCGCTAGCTGAGCTGCCAACTAATGCTCTACTAGAACTATTTAATCTGAGGCAGGGTGCCTCAGACTTTTGATGAGTACTTTAATATTATTATCTGTATGAATATACAATATTATTTACATCAATTTAAAAGGGAAAATACTACATTTTATATAATTCTCAGTAAACAAATTTTCCATAATATTACCGAGCATGAGCCGTAAACCCCAAATGTTATACTTGATCCTGCCTCGCAAAAAGTTCAATATTCTGTCTACCGAGTAACCCTCCTGCTTGCCTATATCATATACACACAAAACATTTAATCGAAAAGTAGCATAATTGTTGTATTCTTAATTTTATTGCAT